CCAATTATGTGGAGAGGCCCAATCGCAATAAAAACAAGCCAAAAGGGGTAAACACGAGCGAAATATAATGCTAATTAAAATAATCATATCCATCATAAAACGAGTGAGAAAGGGGGGGTGGGTTTGTTGTTGCTGTTGTCGGAACATTTGTAACAATTACAGCGGCGGCAAATATCCATTATCAGTTTCTCGGCTCATCCCCATGATATTCGCCAGGATGCCACTTTGCAGGCATTTATCACAGATTTCTGTATGCTACGATCTGACCTGGGTATCGGGAAATATGCTCTCGGCAGAGCAACCCTCACTCGCTGGCCGCTTAGCTGACCCGGAAAATAATACACAACAGACACAGCGGCAGCACCACACTTAATTCAATTTAAATTACACTTACATATTTCCGGGACCATATCCTGTGTGTGTGTGCCATTAGTATTCGCAACATATGGCTTGATTTCCCGTCGTATCCCTTGGCCAGGCACGCACTCTGCCATTGCCGCCCCGAAGGGATATAGTACGGGTGCCGCCCTGAGTTTCTAGGGTTCCCCGGGTTCCTCCTCTTCCAACCACAAGTGGTTTATCATATTCGAAATTCATTTAGTGCACCTGTTTGATTTTTCATGTCCTTGCACTGCGGTTTGGCATATTGTTTGGTAAATATCGTTAACTTACCATTGCCACTCCACACGCAACTCCACATTTACATCCATTTCCATTTCCTCATCCTCTTCCATTTCCTTTCTTTTTTTTTTTTTTTTTTTTTTTTTTTTTTTCTCCTGGTACCGTTATTCCCGGGCCCAGCGGCGACAGGCGACAACAGCAAATATTTGTCTTGTGCGCACATTAGAAACAACTTACCGTTAACTAGGGTGGCCGCCAGTTACCACTAATAAAGTCCACCCTGGGGTTGAACCTTGTCGGAAATCAGGACTTATCTTGCCGGAAACTAAAGTAAACTAGCTTCATTTTTATATATATATTTCTTGAGTTGAATATGTTTCTAAAGGGGTTTGGGCGTTAAAAAACTATACTTTCCCATTTTTACGAATTTTTTTATTTGAAAATATTAATTCCTTTTGATTTATTTTCTATTTTATTTCTTTAGAGATACTTTTGTTGTATTTTTGAGGCACCGTAATCATTATAGGTGAAAAAATAAAAATTAATGTATATTGATTATCTATTAAGTTTAATATATTTTACAAACTCTTAAAAACTTTCGATTCCTAAAAAATTCCAAAGCATAATTCAACAGAGATTGTTCCTTAAGCTCAAAATATAGCTGGCAATAATAATATAAATTTAACAATAGCATTGTATTTATTTTTACTACTACCACAGCTTAAATTCACAATTGACATAATTTCAGCAATTTGTTCAAATTTGTCAACAGAAGTTAAACTCCCAAAAAAAAAAAAAAAAAAACCGCTTACATTTAAACAATTTAAGGACTATTTGCTGTCATTTGCATTCTTGATTGTTGGTTTTTTTTTTCTTCTGGGTTTTAAAAATTCAAATCGTTAGGCAACCACGCACACACAGCGGAGGGTATTTTCGTGCATTGAACTTTTTGTTTTGTTTTTTTTTCTCTCTTGGAAAATAAAAACTTTGCCTTTCGTAATTGCGAGGCATTAGTTGTCCATTGACAATCGCTCAAATTGTCCAATTATCGATTACTGGCGCTTCTTTATCGTCTCGCCATTTGTCTGGTTATCGATTACGTTGTCATTTATCGCCGGCAGCATTTTGATTGACATAATTCAATGTGTGACCATATTTAATGTTGAGCCAAGCCACAAAAACCCGAAGATAGATGCGGGGGAAATTATGATTATTAATGCATTAACTTTTTTTCTAGCTCAGGTGAAAGTTCAATGATTCCGTCTCTCTCATCTCTCTCTCTCTCTCGGTGTCTCAGTACTTTTTTTTTTTTTTTTTTTTTTTATTTATTCAGTGTATTATTTGCGCTGTGCAGAAAGCTTCGTGTCATCCAGTGACAATTTGCCGTCCCCACGCCCCCGCCCCTCTCTAGCTCCACTTTCCCTTCGTTCCGCCTCGCTCTCGTTTCATTTATTTATTTATTTAGTTTCCTTTTCTTCATCAATTATTTATGTCCGCCACTGTGTACGTACGTGTGCGTTCTTCTTTTTTATGGCCGAGACAATTGAAGGCGCAACTTTACGAAGGGGGAAACGTTTAGAAAGAAAAATAAGAGAAACTAAGAAGGGCAGGGCCGGCATTCCCAGAAAACCGAAACTGGGTATACCTTAGGTCTAAATTTTGAGTTAAGGGTCAATGTTTCCTATACAATTATTCAAAAACCAGTGGTTAAGCCGGATAAGAGTTAAAAATAGGTGTGAATATTCATGGGGAAAAGTATTATATAAATATTAAAATAATAGATATTATATTAAAAACATTAAAATATATATTACATTAAGATAATTTCTTAAATTTAATAAAGAAATAATATATCGAGAATATCGTAAGTGTTTGTTAACGTGTTGGAATTATGGGAAAAACACCCATTTTTCATTTTGAAATATCGATTTAAATATTGATTTTTAGCCTTCACGTCAGGTAACTATATCGATATTATCTTTTGATTTTATTTTAACTTAAATTTTGGTATGAAATTTAGTAAATTTAGCAAGCAACCCTTGAAGGACAACTCCAATAAATAATCAATTATTTCAGATTTCTTTGCTCCTTTGAAAATAAAAATACAGTGTCCTCCTTGAGTCCTTCTTGAGTCCCCCTTTGATTTCCCATTGTTATTTATAATCAAGTAGCCTCGCTCCCTCCCCCTTCTCTTCCTCCTTCTCCCCGGGAAAGCCAATTTGTTAACAATTGAATCGGAGTAGAGATCGTGTGCAGTCCTTCGCCTGATATCGCAGGAGGAGTAAGGGTGATTGATAGAGTTCCCTGGCACCTGAGCTCGAAGCTCGAGAGTGTGTGTTTGCCGAAAATTAAGGCCTGCACGCGCTGGCAATTGGGAATGGTTATGGGTTATGGGTTACGGGTTTCGGGTTATGTGCCAGGAGGGAATCGTCCTGTGGGTGGGATTATTTTGCCTATGAACGAATACATACAAGAGGAATATGGTGATGGAGTTGGAGTGGGGGGCTGCAACCACACATCAACCACCGCGGGCGGCGCGTGGACAGAGGGCGCACTTTCGTCATGCTCGATTGTGCCGAAAACAAGTGCAGCGGCAGCAACATGAGCACGGTGGCGGTAACACGAGGACGACACGAGCAACACCAGCCAGGAGCGGCACTAGCAACAAGAGCCACTACCCAGCTACACGGAGAGATCAATTTGGACTCAAATAATATTTTTTTAAGTAATTTTAAGACTACATTTCTAATAGTAAACTGAGTTTATGACACTAAAGGCAAAGGTGGAAGTGAAAAAATCATATTATATTATTAATTATTATATTATTGAAATATTATTAATTATTTATATATTATTAATTATTTATACATTATTAATTATTTATACATTGATTTACATTGTATTTTACATTTTTATATATATAGAATATATATAGTTGTATGATATTTTCAATATTCAATTGTAAATCAACCTGACTTGTAGTTTAAAGTATACACTTCTTCTTCGAAATTATTGAATTAAAATTTTAAAATATAAAAAAGGACATATTTCCTATTTTATTAATTAAATATTTTTAAAATCTAACTTTCTTTTCTTTAAAGTGCATCTACAGGCCCGAAAACAGGTTGCTTGTGTAATTTGATTACAATCAAATTCTAATAGAGCACCAACCACTGGCGCACATAATTCCACTTGTGCCAGTCCCAGTCCCAACTGGGCCACCTGACCCAATCTCTCTTTCCACCAGGCAGGGGCGGTTGTCCTTTTTTTCTGTTCGATTTTCGGAACGCCCAGTTTGAGTTGAAGTACAATACAATTAACGACACGAATCATGATGTGCTTACCTGGCAAACGACCGTCACGTGGCACGTTCCCAGAAGGCTTACACGTCACAATTTTAATTTTATTAAAGAAACATTTCAAATTAACCGCACAAGCATACATATATATATGTATATATATATAAGGGAAGGAGAGGCATGCGTGTGACCACCGAAAGCGGAAATTGAAGTTGCCGACTGTCCCAATGCGACAGTTTCTCTTGCCTTTCCTTTTCCTTTTCCCACTTAGCCACTGACAGGACTTTCATCAGGGAATGACTTTCATAATTCGCAGCTTTCTAGACATTAGCTAATATGCCATATCCTGTAACCACACACAAACACACACAACCTGCACAGTTCAATCAGCGGCTGGAGTTGAACTTCCGGTCGGTTCCCCATGTCTTGGGTAATCCCAGGGTCATGTAATGGATGCGAAATGAAAGAGCTTTCCGGCAGGGAAGGGTGCCCAGCAATACAATAAAAGCCTCTTTTGATGATCGAGCATCATTACATAGACGGCATTTTGCATTTTAAATAAATTTAAATAATTTAAATTTAGTTTAAAAGAAGAGTAGAAACCGGCTTAGATCGTATAATCGACCAGTTATGAAGTATAAAGTTTATAGAGGATTTAGTAACTTCAAGAAGAACTGAATAATTGAATGGAAAATCAACGGAAAGGTGTTAATATATTTAAATGGATAAGGAAATATAATTAATTAGTATCCATTAATAAAAATTTGTAAGCTGAATATTGGTACTATGCTGATGTAGTCTTATATATTTTTACTCTTAGTAATCTTTCAAGAAGAAAATCTACTCCAGACACTAGTTTGGTTATTTTGTCAATATAATAATAATATATAATAAATAATAAGAATTTTTTTTTTTTTTTTATTATGAATGTCCAATATTTTAAGAATAACTCAAAATCTACTGAAAAAATCGTTTTGAAATTTTGCACATAAATTCTTTAACTAATTTGGCAGTTTTTTTTTTATAAGCTAAAGACCCTTAAAATCTATTTGCTCCCCTTAAAAATACTAGAGCACTCACCTGCAGTGGACGTTGCGGTGGCCCGCTCATTGTGTGGTGGTGGTACATGACGTCATGCTTGATTTGGGAGGGCATTTGGCTATGTACATGCTGGGCTTGATGCTTCTGGATGTCAACGGCGGCCAGCGCTTCCGCTCGGCTGAGGATGCCGTCGTTGATGCCCGCGAAGATATCACCCTGGAAGGCAGAGAGCAGAAGGATCAGAGATCGAGGATCGAGGGAGCGGTGGTCAAGGAGAATCGAAACAATATTGGAGAACAAATCAATCCCAAATCCAATTTGAATTTTTTCGATGAAACAAGGATACACTTTGGCATACGTATAGATGTATAGATATATATAGGTCGGCGTCAGAGAGTTCAAATATGCGAGAGATCAAATATCAAATATAGCAAATATCGAATATCAAAAATATGAATTTCAGAAAGAAAAATCAATCAAGAGTCAAGGCAAAACATAGTTTTTCGCTTGTTTTTTTTTTTTTTGACATGTTTTGTGTAAAATTTGTTTTGAATATATTTTATTTTTGTTTTATTTTGAAGTTTGTGTAACTTACATTCTGACGTGCTGACCACGAATTGCATAATAGGGAAGCATCTTCTAACAAACGACTCTGAAAAGACGGAACAAACATCGATAGTATGTGTATAGATTGGATTTGCCTTTGTAGCAAAAGGTATTTCGTATAAATTTTTTGCTTTTTAATTTTTTTTTTGAAACATATATGGCGAAATTCCACAGATATTGACACAGGTTCTCCTGCTTAATATACTTTGGTTTTTATCGAAAATAGATATGCAGAAATTCGTGGCAGATATTCCTGTTTAAATTATGGTTTTTAGGGGGAAACATTACAAATTTTTTTGTAAAAGAAGAACATTTAAAGTTATATAAAGATCTCTAAAGTTTCTTATTTAGTGAAACAAATTAACAAAAAAATTTGTATTAAGGCTTTCTGAAAATTAAAAAACATATAATATTACCTATATTAATTTTATCATTTAATTTTAATAAATAAAATATAAATATGTAAATTAATTTTAACAGCTCTTAAGTTAAGCTAGTTTTATTATTATTTATTAAGCTTATTTTATATATTTTATTTATATTATTTTGTATTTATTATTTTTTATTTTATTTATTTATTCTATTTTTTTATCTCTTTTGCGTGTAAAAAAGTCTTGCATATAGTTTTGCAAGTCTTTATTTCTGTACTTAATTTTACGTTAACATTTTTCCGTACTTCAGATGAAAAACCTCAAAGATAAAACCGTCTAATCTTAAAGCTTTTTTCAGCCTTTAAGCTGAATTTTTTTATATATATTTTTTTTGGGGTCTATTGATTTTTGGGCCAACCAAGTGCCACCTGCTACTTCCACCGCGCGCCACTAGCTGGTTTTTAAATAAATAATATCAAAAGTTTGTTGGTTCCCTCCGGTTCATCTTCATGTCGTCGCCATCGTCGGCGTCTTTATTATTCCAGTCTTATCGATTTTATATTTTATATATGTATATACACACACATATATATATATATAGATATTTGTACAAGTGAAACAACTCGTTGTGTATACGAAACTCGCACGAATTTTTCAGTTAATCAATTATTTAGATGCGCACAAAAAACTTCAAAACGCCGCACGACGAAAACGAAAGACGCCGAGAGAAAGATAGAGAGGACGCCCACATGTCCAAAGGACATCGACGCTCACGTTTTGCGGCCCATTTTCCAAGGCGAAAGGCGTAATTCAATGGAAAACCAACCCAGCCCAGCCCACTCCTAAGAACCGCAGAGGCGACAGCGACGGCGGCCATTGTAGAAATCAAAATGTTGTGCATTCTTAATGATGTCTTGGCCATATTCAACCATGGCCAACCCGACCAGAGACCCCTTTACATTGTCGCTTTAAGCGGGTGTTTTTCCAAAGGGGGGCGTGCCGCATCGAAGGGGGCGGGGGGTCGCGGTGTGCAAATAATCCGACGGCCCCGGCAGTATGTTTGCACTTGGCGCCACGTTTATGCGTGCTCCCATTTCAGGATGCCAGGACGAGAGCCAGAGAGACATAATGGCAGGCACACACACACTCTAACATTTAAAAGGAAATGGAAAAGAAAGCAAAAGCATTATAGTGCAAAAAGAACAAAATGTGTGCCTCTATAATTAATCAGCAGCCAGCAGATCGTAAAAAGCTTTATTTGAGGAGAGAGACACACTGACACGAGCTGAAAGGAAAAGCGAAACGGGGCATACTAGGCTTTAACCAGGGAAAATGAGCTTAAAGAAGGTATTTGCAGGGTATTATAGTTTCAGTCAGAAAATAGTAACGCTCTGAAGGAGTCATTTCCGACCCTATAAATCATATATACTCTTGATCAAATTTAAATGAAAAAGCTTAAATAATTAATTAAGGCAATTTTCCGATCGTTTTGACACCTTCACTGATTAAAATTATAAAACCCTGCAAGGGTATAAAAACATCATAATTAAGGAGTAGAACTTCAAGTTCAAGTATTGAAATTTATTTATTTGGGAATTTTCTCACAGACTCAACCGGGGAAAGAGGTGTGTGAAAAAAAGGGAAAACCGAGCCGTAGTGGCAACAGTTTGTTGGCCAATAAATTTATCACCGCAAACGCACGTCAGTTAATTAATTTATGAATTAATGTGCGCAGTCATTCATCAAATTATGCAACACTAGCGCCGGCAGCTCTCGCTCTCGTCCTGGCAGCGACCTAGGACACCAGAGGGAGAGGGAGAGCTGCCTCTGTCTTGACCTGCTCACACACACACACGCACACGGAGCGCAGTGCAGGTTGACACTTGCACATAAATTCTTTATTAGTGTGAAAAATTAATCAAGTGAACTGTTATTCTTTTTTCCTTCTCTCTCGCCCGGTCTCTCCATCTATCTCTCCTTCTGTCTCGCACTTGTTTGCTTGTGTTTATCACACACACACACACTCACATATATATATATATATATAATTTGATTTGTGCCTTTTTTTTCTCTGTTTATTTTTGTGGGAATTTAATATTTATGATGTGTGTAAATAGATACGCAATGCTGAATGCTTAATTTTATCGATTGCCGCACACACACAATTCCGAATTCTGGAGCAATTAAATTAAAAAAAAAAGGGTACAACTTTAAAAGATTTTACTTTTTTTTTTGTTAAAAAAGAACTTAAGGGTTGCCAATGTCATTTAAAAAACAAGAAGGGAAGCTAACTTCGGCACACCGAAGTTTGTATACCCTTGCAGATTGGTTTTGATGTTTATATTATAAATTTAAATGCTGAAAACACTCACAAAACAGAGTTTCATTACATTTTACTTTTACTTATTATGTTTACAGTTTGACAGTTAAGGTTTTACATTCCCAGCTTTACATTTTCTCCACATTTACAAATCGTTTATATGACAGCTATATGATATAGTTGTCCGATTTTCATAAAAATTTTACCAAAATTCTGAAATAATAAAAGAAGCTTATATCTAAAAGTAGATAAGAATATGTTGAAAAACAACAAAGTTATAATTTTTTTCCTATTCTTTTTCCGATCGTTCCTATGGCAGCTATAAGATATAGTCGTCCGATTTTCATAAAATTTTTACCAAAATTCTGTAATAATATAAAATGGCTATATCTCAAAAATGATGCAAAAATATTGAAAAACAGCCAAGTTATAATTTTTTTTCTAAAAATTTATCGAACATTTGTATGACAGCTATATGATATAGTCGTCCGATCCGGCCCGTTCCGACATATATAGCAGTGAGAGTATATAGAAGACTATATGCAAAGTTTCATTCAGATAGCTTTAAAACTGAGGGACTAGTTTGCGTAGAAACAGACAGACGGACAGACGGACAGACGGACAGATGGACAGACGGACAGACGGACATGGCTAGATCGACTCGGCTGTTGATGCTGATCAAGAATATATATACTTTATAGGGTCGGAAACGTCTCCTTCACTGCGTTGCAAACTTCTGACTGAAATTATAATACCCTGCAAGGGTATAAAAAGTTAAAAAACTGAGACATTTATTTTAAAGAATTTCAAAAGTCTAAGATGTTGGAAACTTTGACAGAGTGTCTTAAGCGGTAAGATATTGTAAAAAAATTTTGGATTATTAAATAATAATATTAAACAAGAAAGGCATATAAATTCGGGAGGCCAAAGCCTTGTAGCTTGCAGTTAGATCCTGGGAAATCGTTCATAAATAAGCCAAAAATGTGTTAATTTCAATTCAGAAAGCTGTTTTATATTTCTGATAAAATTTATTTATTTATTATTTTATATTACGTTGCCTGAGGAAGTACATTTTGGGGGATTTATTATTTAATAATTTTATTTCTATTTAACATTTTATTTTATAGTTGAAAAATAAGATTTCTGATATAATTTTAGTTTAGATTAATTTTTGGTTTCTTAGGTTTTTTTTTAGGAAAATTATGCTGATATTACAGCAAAAGCCTTAATATATATAATTTTTGGGCCCATTAAATATATACTTTAAGTCAGCTAGTTTTTATAAGGCTATTAAATTTGCATGCAATTTTTTGCAATTTTGACAAATTTATCAAATTTAAAAAAAGTGAGAAATTTATTTTCTTTAAATAAGATTATCCTTGCAAAAATTTAAAATGAAGGAAACAAAATTATAAGAAAGAGAATGTAAATGAATTGTAAGGATTGTCAAAAAAATGTACAAACTACTTTTGTTATAAAAGAATATAAAAAATGTATTAAATTTGATAACAAAAAATGTTGGTCGAATATTTAAATATAACCTTTCTTTTAAAGACATATAGGTAATACAAAAAACTTTTTAAATTGTTAATTGAATTTTTAAGCCCAAAAATGATCATATAATATTATTAGTAAATATTTAAAATTTAATACACCTTAAGGAGTATAATAATATCAGTCCGAAACCTAAAAATCAGGGAAGGACCCATTTCCGACCCTATAAATCATATATATTCTTGATCAGCATTAAAAGCAGAATCGATCTAGACATGTTTGCAAGAAAATTTTAAATTTAAATTTTTTTTTTAATTTTATGTTTAATTTTATTGTTTAAGGAGGTCAAGAAAAATCGAAAAATTTTAAATTGGTTAAATTTGTAATCTTTATATGCAGAATTATTAACCATAAAAAAGCTAACTCAGAACAGCTTTCTGAATTGAATTTAATGCATTTTTGGCTTAGTTATTGAATTTCTAAGCCCAAAAATGATCATATAAAATTATGAATAAATATTTAAAATTAATACACCTTAAGGGGTATAATAATTTCAGTCCGAAGCCCAAAAATCAGTGATGGACTCATTTCCGACCCTATAAATCATATATATTCTTGATCAGCATTAAAAGCAGAATCGATCTAGACATGTTTGCAAGAAAATTTAAAATTTTAATTTTTTTTAAAATTTTATGTTTAATTTTATTGTTTAAGGAGGTAAAGAAAAATCGAAAAATTTTAAATTGGTTAAATTTGTAATATTTATACGCAGATTTATTAACCATAAAAAAACTAACTCAGAACAGCTTTCCAAATTGAATTTAATGCATTTTTGGCTTAGTTATTGAATTTTTAAGCCCAAAAATGATCATATAATATTATTAGTAAATATTTAAAATTTAATACACCTTAAGGAGTATAATAATATCAGTCCGAAACCTAAAAATCAGGGAAGGACCCATTTCCGACCCTATAAATCATATATATTCTTGATCAGCATTAAAAGCAGAATCGATCTAGACATGTTTGCAAGAAAATTTTAAATTTAAATTTTTTTTTAAATTTTATGTTTAATTTTATTGTTTAAGGAGGTAAAGAAAAATCGAAAAATTTTAAATTGGTTAAATTTGTAATCTTTATATGCAGATTTATTAACCATAAAAAAACTAACTCAGCACAGCTTTCCGAATTGAATTGAATGCATTTTTGGCTTAGTTATTGAATTTTTAAGCCCAAAAATTATCATATAAAATTATGAATAAATATTTAAAATTAATACACCTCTTAAGCCTAAAAATCAGGGAAGGACTCATTTCCAACCCTATAAATCATATATATTCTTGATCAGCATTAAAAACAGAATCGATCTAGACATGTTAGCAAGAAAATTAAAAATCGTAATTTTTTTTTCACTTTATGTTTAATTTTGTTTTTTAAGGAGGTCAAGAAAAATCGAAAAATTGTAAATTGGTTAAATTTGTAATCTTTGAATTTAATGGATTTTTGGCTTAGTTATTGAATTTTTAAGCCCAAAAATGATCATATATAATTAGGAATAAATATTTAAATTTTAAATATATGGTTTATAAATTTAATATATATGGTTTATAGGTTTGGAAATGACTCCATAATAGTATATGATAATTTTTGGTAAAATTAGAGCTTGAAAATATAATAACTAACATTAATTTAAATTGGAAAAGCTGCAAGGGTAAACAAATCAGCGGCTGCATTAATTTATAAATAATAATAAATGCTTTTTCTTGTATTATTTTTTATTAATTTAACTTTGATAAAACAATAATAAGAATATTATTAACAAATAATAAAATATAAAAATCAAGCACTTCTATATACAAATTTTTATAATAAAATAATAAATAATATATAATATGAATAATAAAAGCTATTATTTTTATTATTCTTTATAAATTTAACTAAGAAAGAGAAAGAAATAACTTGTATTATTCTTTATAAATTTAATTTATCTATTCTTTTGACATCCCCAACTTAATGCCAAATAATTGATTGTAAACCTTTAGAAAAAATCACCTGAAACTGCCACCAATTCTGTTAATGGCTTCGATTACCTATATCCCAGGCTTATATATGCCTCCGATTTATTTAGTGCCTGTTTTTATTTAATAATTTTGCTGGCTTAGCCTCAATTTGATTTATAAATACTTGTTTTCTTTATAGTTATTGGCCTTGTTTTTGGCATAAACGTAATTTGTCAATTGTTTCCCGCTGGATTCGATTTAATTTCGGGGCCATTAAATGCAGTTTATGAATATTTAAATCAAATTAACGCCGCCGCTGTCCATTTAACAAGGCTGGCAAACAATTCAAGTGGCCCGAGAAGGGGTGAGTTTTTTTTCCAAGGATTTCCACGAGTGTTATTTTGGTCCAGGGGATCGGCGACAAATTTCCATTTAATGGACTGCAAGGCGTTAAGTGTTTTTGTAACCAGCTGAAAATGACAAAAAAAAAACACCCTTCCTCCGAATTTCCCTGCTGGTTTTCTTGCCTCGCTTTCCCCTGCCTCCCCCTGTTCCTGCCTTTTCCCTCTGCCCTGCCACTCTCGGGCCTAATGCCCAGCCAAGGGTAGCATATAAATCCTATAAATCCGCCGCTTTGATCATTCGCCTTGGTCCAGCAAAAGCCGAAAAGTGGCTAACTGGCAAGAGAGCAAGTGAAGGCTGATGGCGCAGGAATATATCAACCAGGATATATGGCAGGGGTCAGAGGTCTAAATCCGATAAGCAAATGTAGTTGTTGCCTCTTGAAGTGATTTCCTCTCGTGTCTTTGGTTTTTTTCTTCCTGTTTAAAGTGCTTCCCCCTGTCGGATTAATCTAAGGCCTTGCAGGGGGTGAAAATAATAAGAATAAAAAAAAAAATATATATATATAAAGGGAAGGAATAGCAGAGGTTTTCTCCGCTGACATTCACCTGTTCAGGCAATCAACTTTTTTTTTTTTGCCTTTTCCCAAGTTTTTAGCCGCGCTTCCAACTCATTATTTTATGCACATTTCTGTTTTTTTTTTTTTTTTCTTTTAGACTGGAAAAGGGTGGCATAAACCAAGAATAAGTCCTACTGCTTACAATATCCTGCAGGTTTTATTTTAAATTTAGATCGGCATCGGCAGGACATTTTTAAGGAGGGTTTTGCGGCGAGGTTCTATTTTTATTTCGGATTTTTTTTAAGGTTTTACTTTTAAGGAAATGTAATTAAAAATATATTTCTGATAATATTTATTTGTTTAATGTTTTGTATTACGTTGCTTAAGGAAGTCGATTTTTTATTTATTTTATAATTTAATTTCTATTTAACATTTTATTTTCTAGTTGATAAATGAGAATGCTGATATTCTTTCAGTTTAATTTAAATTGCTTTTTTAATTTTTTGCTTTGAAAATTTGTGTTGATATTATTACTGCAAAAAACTGAATATATTCCCATGTAGGACCCATCAAATACATACTTTGAGTTTCTAAAAACCAGAGTATTCCCTGGTTCGTTCTTCCATCCTTTTTTTTTTTTCGTAGTTTTTTGTTCCGACTTTGTTCTGGTGGCAGGCTTTTAAATTTTTTATTTGTCTAGCTGGTCAGCAGCGCATACAAATAGTTGGTAAATAATTAATGCAAATGAATTGCAAAATACTTTTCAAGGTTACTGCACAGGAGGCCGCCCGTTCCGTCAGATACAGATTCGTTCTCAGGAGTTTCGGGTGCGTTTTTTGTGGGTAAACCCAAAAGTCCTCGAAGTTCTTAGCCGACATTAACGCCCCTTAATTAAGACGTATTATCGCGACCAAAGAGGATAGGGGGACCCACCATTCCCCCTTTTTTTTTTATTCTTTTCCATTTCCGTTTCCCGAATGTATCTTCTTTTGTACTTTTTTTTTTGCTGCCAGGCTGGCATCAATAAACCTGTCTGAGAACTGTCAGTAATAACCATTTAATGTCTGCCCGTGTTCCCATTCAATTTTTAACTCAAAGCTCATAAAAGATTCAGCAGGACAGGCGAACTCCGAGACGCCTGCCAAATACTCCGGAATTATTCGTTATTAATGCAGTCGGACAGGAAAAACATCGCATTGTCCATGGCACCTGTATTCGTGTGCACACTTATATCCCTGGATCTGGGTCTTTTTTTCCGAGATCATCCATTGAGTAGAGGAATTTGAATGAGACTCGCCATTTCTGGCACTTTCCCCCACGGCTCGGCTATTATTAAAAAGCATCGAGCAAATCGTTCAGAAAATAGCGCAGATGAAGTGATACATAAAGTTTCCACAATGAATACAATTTCCCGTATTTAAGACATGTAAAATTGTAAAATATATTCAAGAAATCTTGATTTAATTATGAAAATTACAAATTAACTAAATCATCTTATAGTTGTTAATAGAAATCCGTAAATCTTTCAGAAAATTGCACAGATTAGGTAATATTTAAAAAGGAAACTATTTTTTTAAGGAAAATTTATCAAAGACCTACTGAAATTTATTCTTAAATCAAATAAACCTTGCGATAAAAGTATCTTTCTATTATTATAATAAAATTTCAGAGTTAAGTTCTGTTTTTTAACTTTAAAAATTGTGAAAATTTATTCAAGAAATCTTGAATTAATTAGGAAAATTACAAAATAACTAAATAATCCTTTAATCTTTAATAGAAACCCGATTTAGCTGGAAATCCCATTGGTCTTGAACAGAGAGGGTGTATCTATCACACTTTCGATTAGGTTTTTCGTGGGATTTTTGATGGGATTTGACTTAGAACCTTACTAGCTTTGGTTAAGGATCTAATAAGTTACTAAGCCAAGCTAATCTTCAAAACAATTTCATAGATAAATGCGATTGCATTTTAATCTATCTAAAATTTCACTATCTAAACATTTAAATATCTCTATATAATTTACAAATTTTATAAATTAATTAAGAAATTCCTTTACCTCGATAGAATCGCAAGATGATGACATGACAATCTGCAGAAGGAAGGTTCATTATTATGATATGATTGCTTTGCGTTTTTTTTATAAAATCAAACTGAAAGCCAAACTAATTTTTTGACTAACCCAGACTTAAATAAAGAAAAAAGGTTTTCAATAATTTAATAAACTTTACAACAAAGCGCGAACAGAACGGTTTTATTTATTTTAAACAATATAAATATTATTCTTTTTAAATAATATAGGAAAATTCGTGATGGAATAGGATCCTTTCTTAAACCTGTCCTACATTTTCTGTAGAAATACCTATCTTTTTTTTGGGTAAAAAGGGCACTTTTAATGTAAAAATATTATAATATGAAATTCTATTGCTGGTGGCATATATCAGCATTTTTTTTTTTCTTTTTTAGTGGAAATTCCTATCTTGTCGAGTAAAAAGTTCACTTTCAAAGTATAAATATTAGGGTATGTGAAACTTTATCATTTTCCTGGCGAAATATTTTACGATTTTCCAGACATTTCCCTGGTGTTTCACCCAAAAGGAATCCCTCTATTTAATCTCTTGTAGAATTTTCTAGCTTTTAAGCTAATGCTTCAGCTAAAAGATAGATCGAAGAAGAAGCTATGGGAGGAATAATGGCTCCCTGGATATACTTACAGATGGATTTGGCATGCAGCGCCGCATTTGCTCCGAACTTCGATAGGAGGGACTGTAGCGTCCTGGAAAACAACTGGGCGCTGACATTTTCATTTTATCCGTCGTCGAGTACATCGACATTGTCATGCAGCCGCCGACGAAATCCTCCTCCAGCTTGAACGCCCTGGAGGCGTCGAAAGTGGTTGGCGAGTAAATTTTGAAGCACTTACTGGGACAGGCTTAGCGCGTGTCCTGCATGCAGGACATACGAAATAGGTTCCGAAAAAAAAATATATAAATACAAACGGAAATAATGACGCAACACACACACAGTCCTTTTGAGACAGTCCCCAGTCCCTTTTTCTCTGATAAAAAGCCGCCGCCGCCGGACTGACTTTCCTTCGCTTTGTTTTGCCTTTTCTAGGCTTTTCTTTTTTGTATGCACTGCACTGGTTTTTTGCGGCTTTTCTTGGATTTTCTTTGGGACTTTCCGCGGTTAATTTTAAGCTTTAAACGCTTTTAAAATTATATTTTATGGTTGTGGCGCGTTTCGGGGAAACTGAGAAAAAAAAGCACAGGAAAAAAATGCGAGAGTGAGAAGAATTGCTTCGTTAAAGCTGAAGAATTGTTATGAAGACGCTTCTCTCTTTGTGTGTAGTTTTTCCCGGCGCTAGTTTTTTACTCGGCGAGAAACGGTTATAAACGGTTGGGCCTCGGCGCTCGAACTGAGCCAAGCGGGGCTTTTCCGCTTTGCCGGCTGTTTCCTGTTTCCGTTTATCGTTTTTCGCTTTTCGTGTTCTGTTTTTCACTGGCACTTGGTTGTATGTTTTAGTTTGGTTTGGTTTGGTTTGGTTTTTTATTATTTGATTTATTATTATTTTGTTTTTTTTTTTTTTTTTTTTTTTTTTAAGGGGACTTCCGTCGGTACCGTTACCGCTCAATCTTTGCTTTGTTATCGAAAATATATCGAACCGAAGTGTAGGAATATATATTGTTTACTCCGTGTACCGCCCCGCCGTGCTATGCGCTCAACTATTGTGGAAACTAAGCGGGAACACAGATTTCACAACTAGACAAGCGCGCGTGGTGTTGTGATAAAGAATTCTATGATGAGTTTCGCTAACTTCGGAGTTTATTTTCAATGGAGCATATGGACGACATGTTTTCATTATTTATCAGCGTGGGCGTGGCCAGCTCTCTGCCCTCTCTCTTTTGGCCGTATCGAAAAATGGCAGCCGCGCTTATATAATAACCCAGAAATAGCCAGGCTGTGGCTCTCCCCAGCCTGGCCGCAGTTCTCTGATTGGTTGCAGCCTGGGAGGTGGCAGCGCTGCCGGCGCCTTCGTTCAGCTGGAATTGGGCATCCGGCGGACGTGTCTCTACCTGGCGAAGGCTTCCAAACTTGACGAAGCCAATGCCAAAGCCAAAAGCCCAGCGGCTGCGCAGAGAAAAACAGCCATCCGAGCAACCCCGGCTTCTAGTCCTTTGGCCCCTTTTGGAAATCCGGAGCATTGCTATGCCCCCGCCGACGACGTCCGGCATATGGCACAATTTCTCCTGGCTGCGTGTGATTTTCAGTTTCCTCTTTTTTCAGCATTTTCTTCTTTTTTTTTTATTCCTGCCGCGGAGGGAGGGATTTTCCCCTAGATGGAGGGAGAACGAGCCACAGCAAGCGAGAGCGAGAGCGACAGAAGGCCGCCTTAACAAAAGGCGGCACAAAACCAACGCCAACGCGGCCGAACAATGCCAAAACACAGAGAGATGGGCGTACTTTCCTGGGGGTGGTGCTCAACCTGCTCCTCTGCCTGCTGCTCCTGCTTCTGGGAGGGAATGGGCCTGGGCAGCCGGTGCTGGCTGAGGCCTAGTTGTTGCAGTGCAACTGTTAAAAGCATGCATCATGGCAAATCTCCTAATGGGTGCCGCGCTGCACCCGGATAGTGGGTGCTCCGAAGAAAGGAATTTAATTATAAAACTCTTAATTTATTTATAATTTATAATTAAAATTTTATTGTATATACCTTACTAACCTTTAAGACAAAACTTGCTTACACAAAATTGGGAAATTTATTAAAAAACTAATTTAACAAAATAATACTCTTCGAATATAAATATAAAATTTAAAAAATATATACAAAATATGTCAAGATCTGCTTACACAAAACTAGGAGATTTAATTAAAAACTAATTTAGCAATATAATAAATATCAAATATAAATAAAAAATAATAACAAAATTATACAACAAATTTTAAATTTATTTGATATTCAAATGTAATATTTACTTAAATATTTTTCTGTCTTACATATTTTTGAAATATTATTTTTTATTAATTTGAACGAAGTATGCGGATTTTTATTTATATTTTATTTATTTTATTAAATAACCTTTTAAAAACTGTACCAGAATATTTTATTAATTAATCTTATAAAATCTACCAGAGTAGAGTTTTCCGAAATAAAGTTAATGGCTTTTTGGCCGAGCTTTGGTATTATTACATCGTTAAAAAAATATTCTTAATTTAAGTATGCAGATTTATTAGTTTTATAAAAACAGACACATAAACGCATTTTTGACTTAGTTATAGATTTTTTAAGTTTGGATTTTCCCAAAAAACTATATAAAATTATGGATAAATATTTAAATTAAATGATCATAATTAACCCAGAACTGATTTCCAAATTAAATTTAATGCATTTTTGACTAACTTATAGATTCTTTATGTTTTAATATTTCCCAAATGTTCTTAAAAATTACATTCTTAAAATGATTAAAAACTAGCACAACAATACTTTCCAAATTAAGTTGTATGCATTTTTGACTTAGTTATGATAAATTCCCCCGGTGTCTAATTGAAACCTTGGACTGTTTTTTATAAATTTGTTCTTTAATTAAAAAAGTCTGGCTTAATCTTTAAGTAAAAAAAAATAATAAAAATATTTGTTCAAATATATTTAAGACTTTTATTAATGCTCTACATTCGTAGAACCTTTTATTATTATTATTTTTATTTATTATAATATTTATATTATTATAAAAATTTCATAAAACTTTTTTTTTAATATTCAAATCATAAAATATAAACAAAAAAATACTTAAAGTTCAAACTAATTTATTTTTATTGTTTAATGAAATACCAAGATGTATTTTAATAATATTTATATAACATTCAAAAATTAAACTTGGTTTGACTATTATAAATTATAACAGCAATAGTTAATAATTATTAAAATAATAATTATTGGAATATTAATTTATTTTTATAATAGACAGCCATCTATATGTGAAAAAGTTATAGCTACATTTTGGAAGCTTTTAAGCAATGTCCTTACAGCTTTACCCTGGGAAACTTTTGTTCTTAAAGGTATATAGAAACTTTGAGCTCCTCCCGAGCTTGCCAAAGCTTTTCCAAAATGCTGCTCGTCCTTAAAGCTTCTCCTTTAGGAAGTAAATAAAAATGCAGTTTTCAGTTTTTTTAAATCCACTTCATTGTTTCCATTCGATTTGTTGTTCTCGTTTTTTCTTGTGTATTTTTTTGAGTTTTGCTTTTGTGTTTTTTGTTTTTGTACAATTATATAATACTTTTGCGCATCGTTAATATTTCACAAGTTATTGTAGAGTTCGTGTATAAAACTTTTTACAAAGATAGTCTAATTATGGAAACTCAACGTGACCAGAGGAGAGTGATGATGATTTTTTTTTCGTGGGGGCGATGAGCGATGAAGCACAACATGGCCTATAATGAATTTCATAAATTCGTTCAGGAATCATAATACCTTGTTGCAAACGCAAGCGATCGTTACCTATATACATTTATATATATATATAAACTATATATATATATATATATATATACGTTTTATGCCTCTAAATACCATACCTAAGGAGTGAACAAATTTTAAACTAATGCGCCAAGCCAAGCGAAACGATAACGATCGGGGATTCGGGCTTTACTACTACGTATTGGGTCTATCTAGGGTCATACGGATTCCCGGATGAGATCTATGGTCCTACTTTAAGCTAAAGACCTTGCAGTAGTAAAATGCGTAGCGACCAATCAGTTGAATTCGTGCTTTTTGCTTGCTCTCTGCCTCTCCTTCTCTGGGATCAAGAGAGCCTCGAGAAAGCAAAATCAAGAGAGCTCAAGAGAGCCTCGTTACGCACATTAAGGATTAGACTGCCTTTGGTCCTATTTTAAACCATGATGATGAGCAGGGAATTTTCATGTTGCAATTCCGAGCTTGCCATTTGTGCATCGTTGAAATTATTCGTTTAAAGATTTGAATTTTAAGGCTCCTGCCGACCCAGCAGCCCGTAGACAAGGCGCCGACGGGCCTGAACCTCTGCCCGCATCGCTTCCGTGTATGGATCGAAGGAGAGCAGCCGCTTCTTCCGCCGGAAGATGCCCTCTTTGCGCATGATGGCGCAACGCATGAGCTGCTCGCTAACCGGAAATTGCAGGAAATCCAAAATGGAGCGCAGCTCCCGTTCCGTGTGGTGGACCAGATCGTCATAGAACACAACCTTGAGGCTGCCCGTGAAATTGCGGGCCCAACTGAGGTTCATTAGCTCCCAGCCCTTAAGCTTATTGCTCACGAATTGCTGCCAATCTGCAAAGAAATTCCAAAAATAATATATTAATAATGAGGAAAATATAAGGAAATATTTCAATATTTCAATATTAAAATAATAAATATTTAATATTTATATATAAGTTATTTGGAATTTGCTTTAAATGAATATAAATGTTTATGAGATTTCTGGCAGTTGTGCTTTGATTTGTGTCGTGCTTAAACCACACCCTAATTGCCCGTAAAATCCACATAATTGAACTGAATTGCCATGGGAATTATGACAGTTTTTCCCCTCTCTCAAAATAAAAAAAAATTTATATATATCATCTACTTACATTTGCCCTTGGTCCGCTTGTACCGATCCGGCGATGCAAAGCCTATGTGACCGCCACTCTGGCGATTAAACTCGGCTATAATCGCCTTCTCCGGATCACGGACCAGGAGTATTGCTTTCGAGAACGGGGCCCACGCCTTGCCGCCCCACTCGTGCGTCTTCACCAATAATACTGAGCTGTTGCACACGTTTTCCGCCGGAAATCCAGTCTTCAGCAGGCCGTAATCCTTGTAGATGCTTCCCGTAAGAATGCCCGTTGCCTGCTGGAGCAGGTACCTCAGCCAGGTGTTGCCGCTGCCCGGGAAGCTGGCCAAAGCGGTCAAGGCGGGCAGAGATTGCAAGGCGGCGCCCATGTCACTGGGCAGGGCAGCTGTGTTTAAGGGTTAAATATTAAAATAAGAGCGAGTAGAGTATTGAGAAGCCTTACTGTAAAAGTCGGCCTTGTAGTCCGTGTAGTTTGGAAGATCTCGATTTATGTACTTGAGGTCGCGACACCACCGGATGGCCATCTTGCGGCTGGGCATCGGGAACCGAGGACTGTGAAAGCTGGGAAACTGTGAAGGGAATATCGGAGTGAAAAGACGTATTACATTTTAATTATAATTTTAATTATAATTTCAATTATAATTTTAATAATTTTAGTTAATCATAAATGGAAAGAAGGTGATGTTAAAGGGGTCGCTTGACATAAAACTACCCTGGATTTATTCTTAAAAATTTACAATGTATAAAATATATATTGTTTAACAATCTAAAAGTGAGCTTTAAATAAAGCAGAACTTTCTTGTTTAAGAACTCCTTATAGTTCAAGAAGCTTGTCAATAAAATAAATACGCTTTAAAAGCAATTATTTTTCAATTCCTTAATACCGCATAAATGCACTATTATTTATCAAAAATACTCTTTAAAAGTTCAAGGAGCTTGTAAAATTTTTAAACCACTTGCAACTCATTTCTCTAGCCTCGAAGCTGCCCTAAATCAATAAACCCTTCACTTAGCTCTCTACCATATTTACTGCAACAAAAAGCGGAAATTCATGCTGCAGTGCCATTTCCGTTGAAAGCTAAAAGTCTAACAAATATATAGTTATATATGTATATATATTGAGCTGGGTGACTCACCTCGGCAAAGCGCTCGATGCGCGGCCTTTTGGGATGTGAGCCGGGTATGTTGTTCATGGACAGGAAGAGGACGCCGCCAATGTAGATGATGATGGTCGCCGAGACACCGAAAAAGCGCCAGCCTTGTAGTGCCATAACGCCGTCTTTGCATTACTGAAACCAGAGATTAAAGGACTTAGTCGGTTTTTGTTCGGTCTCTCGTCTTCTGCTCGTTTATGTAAAAATAATTCAAAGGACATGCTCGCATTAATGAAGCCAATTATCTGCCGGCAAGCCCCCAAAAAAAAGGAGGAAAAAAAATAGTAGAAGACGGAATCAATTTCGGTTTTTGTTGATTTTGTTATGACAACGAAACAAGTGAACTGAGCTGCCATCGGAAGGCATTTCCCTATTTCTATCCACCAGATGCCATTGCCTCTCTCACTTGGCCAACTTGGCGAACTTGGCTAAGTTGGCTAACTGGTCTCGTCCTCGTTCTAGTCCCTGTAACCCGGGACGACCCCACCCGAAGCTGGTGATGGTTACAGCGGCGGAAACAGGGCCACACTTGAGTTTGAGTCGCAAATGAAAGTTCAGGAAAATTGAGGAAACCGATGGGCGCCTGATTCAGGCAACGAAAAGTCTAACGATGGATGCTCTATGATTATATTAAAATATTAGATACCATGATTTATTGAGTGTATATTAATATTAATTATTATATATAATATATAATTTTTATATAATAATTATTATATATTATGTATTGAACAAGTGTAAGCCTAAAGAGATCGTTATTGATCAGCAACGTCCTTTAGTATGCAAACAGGCAGGGAGATTTCACATGCAGAATATCCAAATATCTACTTCTTTATTAAATATTTGACCTAAGCATATTGAACCAACAATTAAATATTTAAATATATTAATTATTGTTAATAAAGCCAAGATAGCGATATTCAAATCTTTAGGAAAAACACAAAATATATTTAAAATATATTAATTATTACCCAAAAAGCTATATAAAAATTATTAAATATTAATTAATTGTTAATAAAATCAATAAATCGCTATTATTGATACTTAATCCTTGGAAAAAAACAATAAATATATTAAAAATATATTTATTCTTACCCAAAAAGCTAATTAGCAAAAAAGCTATAAAACAGCCTAGGGAAAAATCAAAAGAACAGTCTCAGCCGCACTACTTAGCCTAGTTAGATTGCGATTAAGAACTTATCCCGGCTTGGAAACGCTTTCTGTGGCCTGTCCTGAGCCTGAAGCACCCCCAAGGAAGGGCAAAAGGCGCAGGCAAAGGGAAACGAGAGTAGAATGCCTTGTCATGCCTTCAACGGAATTCCTTGAGCTGCATAAAACGCTCACGAAATCCGTAAAAGGACACTCCATCGTACACACAAATGCACACACATGTCACACACACACAGATTGCACACACATACACGCTGTAGGCAGGCGGCTAAATGCGAAAATTTATGCAACAGCTGGGCAGAGACGACGACGAGGGCTGCTCAAAGGGTCCTCGTCCTTGGCCCGTCTTGGTATCCTTGAGGCGCCGATAGACATTCGAAAGAAGGGAAGGAAACCTCAGCGGAAAGCTGCTAGATGATGATGATAGATACTAGATGCAAGATACCGCCCGGCAAAAAGCAGGGAATGGCCAAAGTAAAACCGCGGAACTCCTCGAACCACCCACCACGCCGATGCGGCTGGTGATGGGGGATGGCCCTGCTGCTTCTGCTCATGGTGCTCCTGCTAGTGGCGGTGGTGGCGGTGGTGGCGGTGGCCGAAAAACTAGTCCAACGCAGAAACAAGAAGCTAACAAAAACACAACCGAGGGCAGGAAAAAAAGAAAATTGTGGAGAGCGTAATAAAAAATGGGAAAGCGGAACGAACACTGGCAGAAGACTAGCACTAAAAAGAGATGAGGAGAACGTAGGTATATTTATTTGTATTTATTATGAATAAATAAAATATTGCAAAAAAATTATTTTAATTGATAAATAAATAATTTCACAATTTTCTTTAACTTTAAATGTATCTTTTAAATTTTAAATGATTTGTGCCAAATATGTGCCACAGAAATATATATTTATCTAAAGGCGAAAAAGCCGATAATTTAAAAAATAAATCAAATTAAGCTAATTAATTAAAACAAGATAAAAAATTAATTATTTATTTAAACAGATGTTGGCAAAAAAATAGATACAACATTAAACTACTTATACTCACTTTTTTTCAATTTTTGCCAAGGAAAAATATTTGTTAAATAAAATCATATGTATTATTTAATTAAAAATTTATACTTATTTTTATTAAAATTAAAACAATATAAAATTTAGAAAATTTCAAATAAATTATTTTATTTTCAAGCAAATAAAGCAAGGTCCAGAATATTTTTTATATTTAAAAATTTCTACCTATATTAATTAAAATTAAAACATTATAAAAGTAAGTTAGGAAATTTAAAAAATATGTATGTTTATTTTCAAGGAAATAAAGCAAGGTCAAGAATATTTTTGTCAGTGCCTGCTAGCGACTATATAATGAAATAATAAAATTGCGAGGCAGCCGCAAAAGCGAAATAGAGAAAAAAAAATAATGGGAAAAATTGGGCACCAAAAGCCGAATGGGTTAAGGCAGTCTGGTTGCGGGTGGGAGGTAGTTCCAGGCGAAGGGGGACGAAGGCCTGGCCATGATGGCGAGCAATAATTTGATTGTTTTGTGGCATAAATCAGACAAAAGCCACGCACACTGGCAAAGCCAGGTGGATAGATAACGACCCAGTCACAGTCCCGGGTTTACATAATGCTGGGGTTCCCCCAAAGCCCAAAGACCTCACCCTCCCCCTCCCCCAACCCCATAAATATGCATTTCCAAAAGCGAAATAATCAAAAAGATTGCAAGAAAACATAAACAATGGGCAGCTCTCGAATTCAGATGGTGCTTTGTACAAACACTTTTCCACACTGGGAAAACTGGGGAGTGGGAAATGGGAAATGGGTGTGTGAAAACTCCTCGCAGCCTTGTCGGTAAAATGTAAACAAATAATTTTAGGGGGCCCAGCAGCAGCTTTTGGCGCTCTGATGCTCTGGTGTTTTCGTGTGATTGTTTCTCTGACTTACCGATACCGATTCCGGATCCACTCCTGCGACGCGCACACACCCTCTCGCAGGCACACACACACCCTCCTCGCTCCTCCTGCCTCTCGCTCTCTCTACATGTCACACACAGCCGCTGGCAATCAGGGGCGAACTACAACTGCGATTTGCTGATAAACGGGCAATCACAGGGCCCATTCGCAGCAGTTATTTGCTTGGAAATCGCTTCAACAAATTCGCACATCAAAAAGGAACCACACCAAAAAAAACACACACAAACAGTACAAATCGTTGCTAAAATAAATACGAGAAACGGGAATCAAACAAAAAAAACTTTGATATTCGCGAACGACAACAACAAACGTGAAACAAAACAAATGTGAACTATTTATTCCCTGCCACTCGTCCCACACGTCGTATGCGCAATATTGGGGCGCAGCCGTTGCCGCTCAAAAAAGTCGAGTGTGTCGTGAGGGCTCCGTGCGTGCGAGTGTTCTCCGTGTGTGCGTTGTTCCTGCTCACTGGCCGGAATCGGACTCGGAATCAGAATTGGTGGCATTAGCAGAGAATCATTGGCAGAATCACCAGCGGCAGCAGCAGCATCGCATGGGGGATGATGATGGGAAAAATAAAGCTCTGGCGGCAGCGTTGCCACCGGTGGCGTTCCCTGCTGAACTTGCAACATGTTCCGCATCAGCTGCGTATATAATCGTGGTCTTGTGCGCAGGTCCCAGAATTTTGTGCGAATTTTCGTTCACCCAAAGTGGTCAATAGGTGGCCACCGTGAATACGTGGCCTTCTTAAAGTCAGGTCACAGTTGAAATGGACTCAAATCCCAACTAAGATTCACAAATATAATTACAAAACCAAAAATTCAATAGTTAAAGGTACCTTTTATAAGGGTAATAGCTCTTTTTTTAACTCAAAATTTCTCCCTTTTTTTACTTTTTTATGAAGGGGGATACTCTTATCACATTTTAGAAAAGTCGTGAAATTATTTTGGTCAATTTTTGGGTAAACCTATCTATTTGTCTATCTGGTGGCGCACATCCTCTTGCAGCGACTCGAGCCGACGCGGCACAGCATTGCCCTCCTGCTCGCCCAGGAAGCGGAATGTGGACAGCGAAACGTTGTTGCTCGATCTGTCTGTAGGTGTCCTAGAGCTGCTTGATGAGCACCTTAGCGCGCGTGTGTAAAAACCGCCGGTCAGGACTTTAAGCTTCTCTATTTTTCCACAGCGCTTGGCCTCCTTAGCCATGTGCCGACGGTTCGTCTCCAGGAGTTTCTTGGCCGACTCTTGGCGATCCTTCTTGCTGGTCAGATTCGTGCGCATATAGCGGTTTTGCGAGGGCAGATAGAGCACCTGGCCACGGCAATCCTGCCATACCTGGGCGCAGACATCCAGCGGCTACTCGCCGTGCGACATGCGTTCCTTGACCACCTCCTTTTCCTCGTTGAGCATCTGCCGGGCCTTGGCCAGCTCCTGCTGCGAGATGTCCTCAACCTTGTGCTGCGACTGTCCCGGCACGGGATCCTTCACCGAGTCGTACACTGCGGCGAGATTTAAATATAGGCATGGCGGCTTCGTTGGGATTACCAGATTATACTCACACTGCATCGTGATCATCTCGTGCTTGACCAGCTCCTCGGCCTGCTGCTGCTCCGTCAGGTCCTGCTTCTCGGACTGCGGTCGCAGGTTCTTAGGGTTCAACTTGGTGGGTCTCGGCAGGCTGTGCTGGATTACCTGCAAGCGCTTTTTTAGCTATCGCTTTTGACGCGCCTCCTGCTGGGCCAGCAGACGAGCGTCGATCAATTTCGCCGGGCTTAAAAGCTTATGCGGATCGCCCATGGTGTCCTCGCCATAGGTCAGAGGGGCCCAGACCGACTCGCATTGAAAGTTCGTGAACTTAAATGCGCAGAGAGCGCAGAATTTGCGCCGCAAATTATTATAAATATACAAAATAAATACGCGTGGGCAGTGTGACCGGTGGGGATGTGAGAAAAAAGACAAAAATATCGATATATCGATTATTCTGAAGACAACTAATTTCTGGTATTATTGTATTCGATATATTGTACATCAATATTTTTGGAAAAAATACAAAGATGTTTCCTTGTCGGCCACACTATGCTATTCTTTCGATTTAAAAATTAAAACGCCGACAGGTACGCACACCTAAGTGTAAAAGCTTGCGTTGTCGTTTTTGAAGAAAAAAAATTGTTTTGAAAATTCATAACTCGGCCAAAAATGCATGAAATTCAATTCGGAAAGCTGTTCTGAATTGGTTTTTTTACGCATAACAAAACTGCAGTTATGCAGTTTTGCCTTAGTGCTTACCTAGAATTTTTAAAAAATTTTAAACAAAAATTGGAGGAATGAAATTCAATTCGGAAAGCTGTTCTGAATTGATTTTTCTGCGCTTAACAAAACTGCATACTCAGTTTTACCTTAGTGCTTACCTAGAATTTTTAAAAATTTTTAAACAAAAATTGGGGGAAAAAATGGGTGCGATTTATTGTGATAATTTTTGGGGGAAATAAACATTTTTGAAAATTCATAACTCGGCCAAAAATGAATGAATTGATTTTACTGCGCTTAACAAAACTGCATACTCAGTTTTGCCTTAGTGCTTACCTAGAATTTTAAAAAAATTTTAAACAAAAATTGGGGGAAAAAATGGGTGCGATTTATTGTGATAATTTTTGGAGGTAATAAACATTTTTGAAAATTCATAACTCGGCCAAAAATGAATGAATTGATTTTTCTGCGCTTAACAAAACTGCATACTCAGTTTTGCCTTAGTGCTTACCTAGAATTTAAAAAAAAAAAATTAAACAAAAATTGGGGGAAAAAATGGGTGCGATTTATTGTGATAATTTTTGGGGGAAATAAACATTTTTGAAAAATGTTTAGATTTCCCGCAACAGGCCCGCTGGAAGGTCACCTCCAAGGAGGCCCTCGCCCAGATCTCTGAGTACTCGGAGGCGGGCCTCACTGTGCGCGGCACCTATGTGCCGCAGGGCAAGAATCCGCCGGATGGCGAGCGGAAGCTCTACCTGGCCATCGAGAGCTGCAGCGAGTTGGCCGTGCAGAAGGCCAAGCGCGAGATCACGCGCCTCATCAAGGAGGAGCTGCTGAAGCTCAGCTCGGCTCATCATGTCTTCAACAAGGGGCGCTACAAGGTGGTCTAGGCAACTGGCCATGAGAATTTGTGAGCAACAAAAAACTGTAAAAATCGAAATTATAATCAAATCTAATAAAGATTTATTTTTAACTTAAAGGCGGGCAGCATTTATAAATATTTATAGAATATACTGTGCCAGTTTTTCCGTGCCTCAAGTATAACAAGTTAACACTTGGTTAACGTGGGCGCATAAAAAACGTTAAACAGATTTTTTCAGTCACTTTTTTTCATTATAAGTTTTATTTTGAAAATCGCTTAACAAAGATTTTACATTGATTTATATTTTTGTTTACCATAAATACTGATTAAAATTGAGTAATATTTTTAAATTAATCATAATTATTATTTTTTATCAACATAATTAAAATCAGCACATCATTTTTTTGATTAAAAAACATAAAAATCTAAAATAATTATTATCAATCATGCTGATTTCAAATATTTGTATTAAAAATTATAATTATGGGCTTATTTAAATTATTTCAATAATAATTATTATTTTTGAGAAAGTAAACAATGCCCTTTTTGCCGTTTGCAATTATGTATATCGTTAGTAACCAATTAAAAAAGGAAAATATTTAATTTTTTGCCTGTTCCGATCGAAACTCGGCCGCAATTAAAAATGCAAATAAAGCGGATCGTAGAAATTGAACAATTAACTTCTGATTGGAAGTGGATGCCATTCGTTATCCAATATCGTCCACAATCTGTGTCGACTCTCTCTCCGCTCAGAGCTTCCCATTTATTTCGCCGTCTTCTCGAATTCCGCTATTCTCTCTTTATTTCGCCGCATTTTACGCTCTCTATTCTACATGAGAATTCGACCCCAAACTAACATTCCCATACGTATTTGACACTGTTATTCTGTAAGCGTGTAAGATTAGTTTTGACATGCACAAGCTCAAAGAGAGGACTCTCTCGCCGCTCTCTTTCGCCGTCCTCCGCCATTTTCATTTTTCGCATTCGCAAAGATCGGTCGAAAACACGCGGCTCCCAGAAAAACAAGGGAAAAACGCGGAAAAACGTTCGGAAAAGCGGGAAAAAGTCGTCCCGTCGGGAAAACTATCCCTTCGGAGGGATCGGAAACAGTTTTTTTCTGCGAAAATCCGAGGGAAAACCGAGAAAATCTACGCTTGGACGGCGTAGTCTTGACGGCCGGCTATAAGTATGCAAGTGTTAGTGAAATAGGATGCGTGAGCATGTGGCAGTGCTTTTTTGTTTTTTTTTTTGTTTTGTGTTTTTCTCTGCTCACAGCGTCCCGTTTTCTTGGCCGTCCTCGAGAGTTCCGCCATTCCCTCGTCACTTTGCTCGCATTCGAATTGATCGGTCGGAATATACGCGGCTCCTGTGAAAACGCAGGAAAATCGTTCGGAAAAACGGGAAAGCGTCGTCCGGTCGGGAAAACTATCCCTTCGGTGGGATCGGTACCGGTTAATCGGGTGAAAAATCCGTGTTAAAGCCGGAAAAAAATCTGCGCTCGGGCTGCACAGCCAATAAGAGCCGGTTATTGGTGTGCAGTTTTTTTGTGCATAAACTAAAAAAAAACTGAAATGGAATTTCGATTTACAGAGGAATTTACAAAGTACAAAGTGAGTACAGTCATCCATTTATTTGTTTTTTATTTGGTTTCGCTCTCCGTCTTTGCCTTTGCATATTTTCTTAGGCACCGTTATTCGGCACACGCAGAGCAAAGCATCGTTCGCTCTACTCTATCGCTGTCTCTCTCTCTCTCAATTCTTTACTGCCGCCTCGGCATTTTCTTGTTCGGCTTTGTGTTTCTGATTGCGCTTGAAATAACATGTAAGAGCAAACAAAAGGAAACCTCTCTCGCAGAAGAGAGAGAGAATACGATCCACAGTTGTGGATTGGACATTTCTGGAGCGCTTGAAATAACATGTAAAAGCAAACGAAAGGAAAGCGCTCTCTCACAAAAGGTAGAACGTAGAATACGATCCACATCTGTGGATTGGCCATTTTTGGTGTTCTTTGCTGTGATTTCGGCTGTAAACTGAAACTGGAAATCTTGTGTTTGTCTCTGCTCACAGTTTCCCGTTTATTTCGCCGTCCTCCAGAATTCTGCCATTATTCCGCCAAATTAAATTATTTTATATAAATTATTTTAAAAATAATTTTGTAATAAAATATTTAAAAGCAGAACACAATCATTATTTTTAATAGAAATATAAAATAATTATTATTTTTTTCTTTTTTTTTTTTTTTCTCCAAAAATAATGATTGTGTTCTGCTTTTAATTATTTTATTACAAAATTATAATTATCATTGATTTTTATAATATTATTAAAAAAAGTTGGAAAGCAAACCAGTTGCTTCCCATGAAATCCCCAAATGTGCGAGAATTTCAAGATCTACCCCAAAATAGAGAACACCTGTGTTTATTTTCGTATTTTTTGTTGCTTGCTTGCTGCATTTTTATTATTTACTTATATATCTCTTCACCGGCAATCAATTGATTTTCATGCTACAGTATTTTGTTGTTGTTTTTCTTGTGTCTAGAAACTACTAAAATTAAATTTAAATGTAGTTATGAGCTTGTCGGATTTCCGCTGTTTGTTTTGTTGTTTGGTATTATAATTTTTTATAACTATTATTATGCGCTTTTATGAAAAAAATTCAATGTTTTTGCTTACACGCTTTTTTGTTTTTCGGTTCGTCTACCCGATCACATGGCGATGGAGATGGGCCTGCCAATATCAGCGGAAGGTCGGCTGCTGGGCGTAGAGAATCGTACCACGAAATGGCTTTGATTTACTTGACCAACATGGGAGATATTATGGTTTTGTCAGTGCCTGAGCTAAAAAGACAACTTAATGCGGCCGCCGTGCGACGTGAAGATATCAAGTAAGTAGCAGTTTTGGTAACCATATCACAAAATGAAATATTAATAATGTTTTTTTGTTCTTAGTGGAATTTCGTCGCTTTGTTTTACCAATGCTGGTGAAGACCTATATATGATGTCTTCTTCTGAGCTGCTGCGCATAGCTCTAGCAACGGGCAAGGCTGTACAACCAACCGGCATTGTTGAAGTTGAGCCCTTAGAGAGCGAAGATTTGGTACTAGAGGCGAATGACGAGGAAGAAAGCGATAAGGAAAAGGACGTCAATATTGAGGTGGTTAACAATGCCGAGACCAAGGAGCTGCCGGTGGCTACGCAACGCTCGAAGCCAGTTGAAGTTAGCGTAGACCGAAATAGCCTTCATCTAACCAATGGAGTCACAAATAATAACTCGCCAAGCCGTGCCAACGAGACCATCACCAGCTCTATAGGTGACCTTACCGTTGACTCTGTACGTGACCATTCAAACACCACGACAACTACATTATGTTCGACAACTACAGAGGAGACTGTGGGTAAGTGAATCACGCATACCTATGCAAATATTATCTTCATCAGTGTGATGTAATTGTAATTCGTAAATGGGCATACTTTTCTGTTTTTGTGTTACGCCATATCGATCATCAGCTCGGTTTAAATGCAACTATTCAAATTCTTAATCATTTATTTACCCTTTGATTTTAGATATGCGCCGCAACCGACAATAAATACAGTTCAATATTTTTAGTTTTAACACTGTCCCACTTTTTACCCAAAGTTATGCATGCCTCTTATATATTTTATACTCTTTCATTATTATTTACGATTATATCCATATATAAATATAGGTCGCTTATCAGTGCTTAGCACGCAAACAAACCAAGCCACTACCACCGTGAACATGAATGACATTTCGGATATTAATATTCCCAACCTAATGGACTTGAAATCTAAAAGGTAACTATATCCCATTTTATATATTTTTATTGCTCTTCCTCTAATTCTCTTAATCTCTAAATTTACCCAACAGCAACACTACGGAAACAAGCACTAGTTCGGTGGTAATAAAATCAATTATTACAAGCATATCACACGAAAAGACCAACGGAGAGAGCGAAATAAGAACGACGAGGACGACAGCGAACGAAGTGAATTTTAATATTAAAATTATTAGTTTAACTACCAAGAAAATAATATGAGGTCAAAAAAACAGCAAGTGAAAAAGACCCGCAATTTAAACACATATTTTAAGCTTAAAAATATGGTATATTTTAATATAAATTTTAAGGAAATTGTTTTGTAATCAATTACTTTTTTAAAGCCTTTTGCCTTGGGCTTGTTTTTTTTAAACATAACGAATATATAAATAAAATAAGTACATATTATATTATTAATGAGGAATGGCCCGATATGTGGTGCTCATTTTTCCCTTTTTTTGTGTGACTTTCATTTATGTTTTTTATTTTCTTAGAAAAGGGTATTCTTCATTTATTTGCAAGTACTGCCTTGTCTAAGTTCACAGCAGCAATCTCTTTTTAGCTAATAAACGACTGCCAAACTACAGTCCATTCCCATTCCCGTTAAACTTGAGGCTGAGCTTCTGGGCCTGCTTGAGGCGCTGATGCTTGGCCGCCCGCTTGGCCTTGCGCTCCCGCTCCTTCTCCTCCTTTACCTGCGACTTGGAGGGACCCAGCGGCGGCTGCTGCTCCGGCTAATCCCCGTAGAGGTAGAAGGAGCAGGATGACGAGTCCGTAAAGTTGACATTGCCATCCGAGAACTTGCTGTTGACGACCGTTGGCTGACCGCTGGCAGAGGTCGTGGTAGTGGTTGTATTGGTATTGATGGAGCTGCCGCTGGCCAGAAGCGAGAGCTCATGACTCTGTTTGCGGCGGCGAAGGCTTTTCCACGGCCACCGGCAGCGACAGGAAGTACTCGTGCCGCGACGACACGTTGTGACAGTCCTGGCAGGTGAGTATCTTTTCAATTATGAAAGGCTGGTGCGAACCCTAGGTCGGGTGCAGCGCCAGAAAAAAACATGAATTTTACTTTTACTTTTCCGAAAAACAATAACAAAAAAAAAGTGTGACCGGTGAGGGTGTAAAGAAAATCCTAAATATTGATATTTACACGGCCTAATAATTTTAGTATTTTTGCATAATGATATATCGATATTTTCAAGAAGTACGTTAACGTTATTTACATTAATACTAAATAAAAACACGTGGGCCGCATTTGTATGTGCATGCCTTGCTGAAAAACAATAGCAAAAATATAGTACGGCCGCTGAGGGTGTGAAGAATATTTAAAAATATATACATTTACACAGACTAATATTTTTAGTATTTATGCATAGTGATATATCGAACATCGATATTTTAAAGAAGTACCCCAATATTTCCTCGTAAGATACACTATGCAATTTTACGTTAACGTTATTTACATTAATACCAAATAAAAACACGTGGGCCGCATTTGCATATAGAGGCCAGTCCGGAAACTAATAGCAAAAAGATAGAACGGCAGGTGAGGATGTAAAGAATATTCCAAAATATAAATTTTTACAAAGATAAATAATATGTAGTATTTATGCGTTACGTTAACGTTGCTTACGTTAATACTAAAGTAAAATACGTGGCCTGCATTTGTTTGTACATGCCTTGCGGAAAAACAATAGCAAAAAGATAGTATGACCAGTGAGGGTGTAAAAAATATTCCAAAATATAGATATTTACACAGCCTAATAATTTTAGTATTTTTGCATCGTGATTTATTGAACAGCGACATTTTAAAGAATTACCTTAATATTTCCTCGTAAGACATTATGCAGCCTTACGTTAACGTTATTTACAATAATACCAAATAAAAACACGTTGGCCACATTTGACGTAGTTGACGTAGGGGAAAGCATTGTGTGGCCGACAATATGCTAGATGAATTTTAAAAAAATATATATTTTCAGCTATAAGCTAGTTTAAAATATGCTAAAACTAGCTTACAAAAAGCTAAACTGGCAACACTTCCCAATGACGATCTGGTACTTTTGGTCGCTCGGACAACAAAGTCTGGCAGCGCTGTTTACTAGTTCACGGGAAGTATGGCAACGTTGTTCTAGTTCACGGGAGGTCTGGCAACACTGTTTACTAGTTCACGAGACGTCTGGCAACACTATTTACTAGTTCACGAGAAGTCTGGCAACACGATTTACTAGTTCACGGCAAGTCTGGCAGCACGGTTTACTAGTTCACAGGAGGTCTGGCAACGTTGGATGGAACATACCAGTGTTGCCAGACTTATCGCCCCAAGCGACCATTGTACCAGATCGTCAGCTAAATAAATCGGAAAAAATACCAGAACTTAGTTGGCTATAAAAATATGGTGACTTGGTATTTTTCAAGTATGTTCTTCTGGTCACACTAAGCCTCGCCCTATATAAGACGGGCAGCAGCAGTGGCGAAGCCAGTAGGCTGTTGACCGGCGAGCGGTCAAGTACTCCGGGGGAGGAGTAGCTGGAATCTCCCCCGGATGGAACGACTGGCTCCCACCGGCGCTGGAGGTCACCCCGTCCTCCCATTGGCACTGGAGGTCACCCCGTGCTCCAGGCGCTCCCATTGGCACTGGAGGCCACCCCGTACTCCAGGGGCTCCCACCGGCACTGGAGGTCACCCCGTGCTCCAAGCGCTTTTGCCGACACTGGAGGACACCCCGTGCTCCCACCGGCACTGGAGGTCACCCCGTGCTCCAAGCACTTTTGCCGGCACTGGAGGATACCCCGTGCTCTTACCGGCACTGGAGGTCACCCCGTGCTCCGAGCGCTTCCGCCGGCACTGGAAGCCACCCCGTGCTCAAGGGGCTCCCACTGGCACTGGAGGTCACCCCGTGCTCCAGGGGCTCCCACCGGCACTGGAGGTCACCCCGTGCTCCAAGCGCTTCCGCCGACACTGGAGGCCACCCCGTGCTCCCACCGGCACTGGAGGTCACCCCGTGCTCCAAGCACTTGCGCTGGCACTGGAGGCCACCCCGTGCTCCATGTGATCCCACCGGCACTGGCGGCCACAGCGGGAGGCGGGCGGTGCTGTTCGTCCGTGTAAGTATTTTTTTATCCTGAAATATTATCATCGATATAGTTTAAGAAATACCTTTAAATTTAAATTAAAAATTTGGCGGTTAAATTAATTTATTGACTGACCGATCTGTTAAATGGCGACACCAGTATTTCCAGACTAATATTTCAATTTAAATTCAAAATTGGCGGTTAAAATAATTTTTATTTTTTTACACTAATATATTATCATCGATTAATTTGAACTACCTTAAAATTTAAATTAAAAATTTGGCGGTAAAATTAATTTTTTGAGTGTGACCGATCTGGCAACCTCACTATTTAAATGGCAACACCAGTAATTGCCAGACTATTATTTCAATTTAAATTTAAAATTGGCGGTTTAAATAATTGTTAGTATTTTTTTACACTGATATATTATTATCGATATATTTGAAGAACTACCTTAAAATTTAAATTTAAAATTTTGGCGGTTTAAATAATTTGTTGAGTTTGACCGATCTGGCAACCTCAATATTTAAATGGCGACAACAGTATTGCCAGACTATTATTTCAATTTAAATTTAAAATTGGCGGTTAAATAAAATTATAGTATTTTTACAACTCGATATATTAATCATCGATATTTTTGGAGAAGTACCTTAAAATTTAAATTAAAAATTTGGCGGTTAATTTAATTTATTAACTGTGATCGATCTGGCAACCTCAATATTTAAATGGCGACACCAGTACCGCCAAACTTTGCGTCCCGAGCGACCAATAGTACCAGATCGTCAACTAAATATATCGACAAAAATACCAGAAATTAGTTGGCTATAAAATATCGATACTTGGTATTTTACAGATATATACTTTTGGTCACACTTAGCCTCGCCCTATATAAGACGGGCAGCAGCAGTGGCGAAGCCAGTTGACTGTTGACCGGCGAGCGGTCAAGTACTCCGGGGGAGGAGTAGCTGGAACCTCCCCCGGATGGAACGACTGACGGTCAAGTACTCCGGGGGAGGAGTAGCTGGATTCCTCCCCCGGATGGAACGACTGGCGGTCTTAGTACTCCGGGGGAGGAGTAGCTGGAATCCTCCCCCGGATGGAACGACTGGTCGTCGCATCTGCGTCCCGGGCTTCTTCTCGGGCTCTCGCCGCCACCGCCGGCACTGGACGCCATCCCAGGATCTAGGCGCTTCCCCCGGCACTGGACGCCACCATGGACTCTCGGCGCCTTTACCGGCATTGGACGCCACCATGGACTTACGGCGCTCCGGACTCCAGGCGCCTCCACCGGCACTCGACGCCACGCCGGGCTCTAGGCGTTTCCTCCGCCACTGGACGCCACCCCAGGATCTAGGCGCTTCCACCTGGACTGGATGCCACAGAGTGAGCTGTGCGGTTGTTTGGGCGTCCGGCGCCTCCGCGGGAACCGGGAAGTTCCGTTCGTCTTCACTGGAACCGGGCATCCGTGTGGATTCGGAGCGCCTTTTCGAATATCGGGCGGCAGTGTGCGCGCGTTGGGCTCCGGGAGCCTTTACGGAAATCGGGCGATAGTGTGCGCGCGTGTGGGCTCCAAGAGCCTTTACGGAAATCGGTCAGTAGTATGCGCGCGTGTGGGCTCCAAGAGCCTTTGCGGAAATCGGTCGGTAGTATGCGCGCGTGTGGGCTCCAAGAGCCTTTACGGAAATCGGTCGGCAGTATGCGCGCGTGTGGGCTAAAAGCTCATTTTCGGAAATCGGGCGGTAGTGTGCGCGCGTGTGGTCTCAGGACGCCTCCGCCAAAACTGGTCGTCTGTATGGGCTCCAAGCCCCTTCACTGGATTTATCCCAGGTGTCATCCCCTGAAGAGGATTGTAAAGGATGTATATTGTGGAGCCAAGGACGCTTTCTTCCGGATCACAGGTGAGTTTTTCCATATCTTTTTAATACACTTCCAATAAATTGTCTATAACCATCGGATATTCCGATGACAGTTTTTCCATTTTTTTTTTTTTTTTTCATAAAAGAAAGTTTTTTATTGGTTTCTTTACAATTTTGCTTCTACAAGTTATAGTCAACTATTATCGTACATCTAAACAACCTGTAGTAAAGGTAAAGGAAAGTTAACAATTCAATTTTCATTAGTTTATTCGCCGGGTCGGCAGCTCCCGGATAGTGACTGTCCTTAGTCGTCGTCTTCCTCGTATAGCAGGCAGTGTATTGATGGCCACATTCCATTTACAGGCCCAGTTGCCAAACTCATTCAGTAGTGTCTGAAGTTTGTCTGTGGCACTATAGACGCAGCTGGATCTTGCCAGAACTGCGGTATCATTTGCATATCTTGCAGCACACGCGCTCAGTGCTTAGGTGCGTACCCTTTTAATAAGTTGTCTCTAACATTCGGATATTCCAATGACAGTTTT